CCAAGGGCCAGCCAAGGGCCAGCCAAAGACCAGCCAAGGACCAGCCAAGGACCAGCCAAGGGCCAGCCAAGGGCCAGCCAAAGACCAGCCAAGGACCAGCCAAGGACCAGCCAAGGGCCAGCCAAGGGCCAGCCAAAGACCAGCCAAGGACCAGCCAAGGACCAGCCAAGGATTAGCCAAGGGCCCATCAAGGGAATAGGGGAAATGTTGAATGGCTGCTACTGTACCTGAAGGAAAAGCAGAAACTAGAACCTGCAGAGTTCCAGGCCTCCTGATGCTCCTCATCAGGTAACGAGTGTCTGAGGGAACCTTTGTCTCCAGAACAGGCTTCCCTGGTGCCTTCAGGAATGTACCGAACGCAGCCGGCTGAGCCTGGGAGCAATTTATGACTGTCACCTCGTACATCTTTGGAGGGAACCTTTAGTCAATTATGCCGCTTTGTTTTCTGCGCTGAATGCTTTATTAAAGAATGCCCCATTCTTCCAGCAGTAAAAGGAAAGATCTGGTGTTTTATCCTGTTCATGTTCTCCTATATCAGCACCAGACATGAGAGGCAGACTAAAGAGGAGAATAATACGCTGACAGACGAGACATAATGAGTGGAGGCTGAACAAAGCACTAATCAAGTGTCCTACTTGGAAAATGTCAGCGTGCAGAAGAAGGCCTCTTTGTAAGGAGACCAAACAGGTGCATGAATGGTTGACAGCAGTGGGCAGATGTCAGGATATTTAGCAGCTTCAACACTGTCTGGTCATGTCAGATCAAAGTGCTGCGCTGCAAACATGAAGGAACCTCCCCTCACTGCTGTAAATCCTGCCGTTTTTAGCCCCGCAGGACGTTTCTAAAGCCTCAGAATGAAACTGTTGATGTTGTTCATCACAATCCAAACGCAAGGAAACAGAAATGATGAGTAACCGTTTTATAAACTCTCCATTAGCCCTGTAATCATCTCCCTTCTTCTCTCATGCAGCAGAATGAAGAGGTGCGACACTGAAGCCAAATGAGGCCACAGATGTTGACTCATCATATTAAGCGTTAACGACCCTCTCCACTCCCTGTGTCTGATCTCTCACAGGGGATCTGGCTTCAGATGATGAGCTGCTGGAAATCTCATCCATCTCCAGACAGAGGGCCGGGGTGTACCAATGCACGGCAGTCAATGATATCGACACAGACGTACAGACTGTAGACATCACCGTCAACTGTGAGTCCATTCCTTCTTCTCTCATTTACATTATTAATGATGTTTAAACTGGGCTTGACAGAAGTCACACTGTGGCTCTTTAAGCAGATGAGACCATTGCTCCCAGTGATGAACCTCCACTTACTGGGCAGCATGTGACCGCAGAAAGATGGCCGTTCTAGACAGAGTTTGTCTCTTTAGGTTCTCTGTAAGGACGGAGTTAGAATCACTTATCCAGCCTCAGTTAGCATCCTTTATCTCATCAGCTGAAACTTTGCAATGATCCTTGTTTAAGGACAGCACACCTGGATTACCGTCAGACTGCAATATGTGCTCAGTGTTAATGTAGCCTAATGCTGCGTTCACATCAAAGCTTCAAAAACGCGTAAACCTGGAAATCTGGACGCTGGATCAATCTGTGTTCACGTTACTTTGATCGTTTATCTGCTGTGTTCTGTAGCTTCAAGAAAGAGAGCAGCTTGGCTTTTTAAAATACGTTTTTAAAATAGATTTAAAGTGTTTTTAAGTGAGAAAGTTGTTGGGTTTTAATCCAGAGAAATGTGAGTTTAAAAGATTAAGAGGATGAAATGATCAAACACAGACAGGGATTTTGAAACGTCAACCTCTGCACAGGGGAGAGAAGCTGCTGGCTCAAAACCAGCACACTTTCTCTCAGATCCCTTCACAGCAAATCCTTTTATTTACAGTTTACAACATAATAGGGCGGGCCTTAAACAGAAAACCCAGTAATGATTATCTGGCAGGATGCAGGACATAGGACAGTGTGAAATGACCATCTGGCTGGATGGAAGTCACACAACCGTGTGACTCTGCCTCATGGCCTACTGGATGCAGGTCATAACAGGTTACGACGCTCCTGATTGAATCACAGGACAGAACCAGAACCAGTCTGACCTCATCAGACCAACATCTGGACAGATGGCTTCCAAACAACATATTTAGCCAATGTCCACTGGCGGACATTTATCTGACGTCCACCTGTGGACCTTAAGCCGATGCGATATGCCCACACATTTATTTTATAATTATCACTCTAACAAAAGTCCACCTCCAAACCTCCTCTGTTCATCAGGATTATAATCCCATTAAAATCCGCAGTTCTTGTTGGGAGCTCCAGACCTCCAGCATACCGCCGGGAGGCAGCGCTGGGAATCCCCGCTGGCTCTATTGTATGTAATTTCCAAATATGCAGCGACATCAACTCAGTTTGTAAATGAATTGTTATTTTAACACACATAGATGTTTTTTGTAAGCATAAAATTCTAGAGACCCTTTCTCAGCTAATAGGTGATGCTAGCATAGATTTTCCCGCCAATTTCTGTCAGGTTGTAATTTCCACCACATTGGTGGAAATTAGGTGCAACTCATAGATACACATACAAGGCCCTTGTTCTGTCACATTTTATTTATCCCATATTATTATTATAACCATATATATGTGGTAATATTATAAAAAACACTTTTTTAGACAACTTTTGACATGTTTCTAACTAGAATTTACACGCTAAGCATTTTGCACAACTGCAATTAATTTATTATTATTTAATAATGTATTTATTTATCATTATTATTTACTATTATTTAATAACAATAATAATACGTTTTATTTAACAGCCTTTCTGGACACTTAAGGTCACTTTACAGAAAATACAAAAAAAAAAAATAAAAGATGAAAATACAAAAATACAAATACAGGAACATAAAAACAGTTATGGATGGGGAAAAGATATTAAATAATATTTAATAATATTATTCAATATTAATGTACTTAGTGAATTCTTGAACTGGGTGCTCCATAAAGTTTAAAAAAGGAGGTTTTGTCGTCTGTATGGTCCATTCATTGTAATTTCAAACACACCATTTGTTTTTAAATAAATTGTTGCAAAATTCTAATCACTCATTAAAACCTTCTTCATAACTTTAGAGATAACGTTCCACTTTAATTAAAAACACAAGTTTTTACACCTTGAAATGTATCTTGCTATTCCAATGATATATTTCGGATTATGGCGAACATCTTGTCTTCATCACAATTAATTTACCTAATTTTTAAATGTATCTGTTTTACAATAAAGGCATAAACAGTTAAAACTATATATGAAATTTTTCTTCCAGTAAAAAACATTATGTGTATCATAGCATTTTAGAATAAATGACTAATATTCATATGTGATGGAAATTATATTTGTGCCAGCCGAGTTGGGAAATCTGTTAAAAAACACCAATTTTTCTTAAAAAATCAGTGTGTTTTCTGATGAATCTTCAAACTTGACTAGTTATGCTAACCGATTACATTGTGAGAATTTATTTTATATTTTACTTTCTCTCTTCAAGTTTGCAAAGCCAATAATGCCCGTTGTCATGATTTAATTAAAGATCTGACCCAAAATGCAGAAGACCAAACAGAGAGACCAGGGAAAAGTTTAACAGGTTTATTATTATAATGAGATGAGTCCAGTGCTGCTCTGAACACTGTCCAACCGGAAGTTTCCAGAAAAGGTGTCTTTTATTGAATCCAGTCTGTGTGGGATGTTCCAGTGATTGTGTTGTTTGATGGAGGGCGGACAGGTTTACCCAGACTGCGGTTGATCCTTGGTGAACGGAGAAGCTGACTACAAGTTAGATTTCCTGCGGTACTTGAACTGGTTATTGTGGAGCTCAGCTTAGTTTGGTTCTCAGAAGATCCTTCCAGGGGAGAGAAGGTCCGAAACATCCAGTTTGCAGAATGACTTCCTGCTGAGAGGCAAAGACAAAAACAGCAAGGTTAAAACTCAGGAAAACAAGAAACTCAGTTTGACTCAGCAAACTCAGCTTGGCTAGAAAAATCAGGTTAGACTCTAAATGCCAAACTATGCATGGCTAGAAAACCCCAAACTAGCAAACACGCTGGCCTCGAGGTAGTGGCAGTCAGCAGCTTAAGAGCCCTCCACAGGTAATGAGGCAATGAGCTGCAGGTGTGCAGGGAGACCCAATGAGGACGGGGCACCACCTGGTGGAGGAGGAAAGGAAACACAGAAACAACCCACAAAGTCTGGATTCCTGACACCCGTAGTTTAAGAATAATCCATAAACAGACGTTGCACGAGGAAAACACAGACTAGAGCTTCTCCTGTGAGCCTTGCATTACTGCTAGGCTCAGTTAGCCACCTGCACAGAGCAACAATCAGTTCATCTATCCTAATTTCTATTTCTACAAAGATAGAAATGTTGTACAGTGACCAAATTAGTGCATTAACACTAAAGTTAGAAGTGACCTTTTTAAAATAGATTAAATAGTGTAAACCGGCTCGTCTTATTGACGGCATGTCCCTGTTTATCGCTTCGCTCTGCCTCCTGCTGAATTTAACCTCCACCTGTTGAGGGGCAGGTTTACCTTCAGCTGTTCAATTAGAGAATGCAGGATTGCATATAAAATGCTGCTGAGCCTAGAAAAGCCTGAAGACAAAGATGTCAGAGATCAATACCAGCATCACTGGAGAAACGTTCCTGCAGGAAGGTGATCAGCAGGCGTCCTGCGATCAGAACAACCGATCCTGGGTCGTCTGCTGGCGCCGGATGCCTTCATGGCCGCCGTACTGCAGAACCAGCTTTCTGAAGGCTCCCTGCTGTTTAACTGGAAACTGGAATTAAACGTCTAAAGTAAAGAAAAATAAACTACAGACATGAATCATCATCAGAGCCATAAACAGGCCCGCTGCTTAGACTGAATAGTTTTCAGTTAAACCGCCCCACTAGTTTTATCTGTTCACATTTATTCCATGTATTTATTCATAAAAGGACTAAATGCACAAAAAAACCTTTTTCAGTTGTGCTTCCATCCATTTTTTTATTTTTATTTTTTAGGTGAATGTTTTGTATAATTTCTCCTAGATATGACTGATGGTAAATCTTTGTTCTGTTGCATTATTTAACATCCTTAAATGAAGGCGTGTCTTTATTAAACAATACGCTGACAGGAGGCCATGCTAACAGGCTAACAGGCTAACTGATGGTTTTACTCTGCAGTTTTTCTGCTTTCATTTCAGCTTTTATTATTTGCTTTAATTTCATTATTCAAAAATGTAATAAATAATTTCAGATTTGATGTATTAATATAAAACTGTTCCCCTGAATATAATTAGTATCAGATTTTCTGTTGAGGCCATCATTTCCTTTTTTTTGTGACGATAATTCTCCATCATGTCCCATTAATGTCTGCTGCCACTGATATATTCCTGATTAGGAATCTCAGCTTTACTGACATTTTTCCTGCACTGAATGATTCTTATTGGATTTGATTTGCGCCGTTGTTTAAAGCTCAGACAGACAAAGTGAGATGAGTCTTTTCTATCTGCTGCACATTTAGAAAAAGGTCACTCCTGTGTTATTTCATCTGGACTTGATTATTGTGGCTCTTCATTTTCAGATAAGTAGGTGAAACATCCAGACAGTCACTGATACAAAATGCCACTGCTAAGCTTTTAAATGAAATCTTCCACATTTCTCCGCTTGTCTTCTTCTTCCTCAGTCGCCCTTTAACTCATTTTATTGATTTTTCTCCTCCTTCCTTCATAGAGAGGCACTTCCTCATATATTTAAATATTTCATCTCTTAAAAAACACATAAAATGTCTCAGTTGCTCCATAAAGTCTTTAAGCATTTTAAAGGTTTTTCTATGTGTATTTGAGACAAATTCAGGATTAGATGCAGTCTGGATTTATCATCTATATACAGATTAATAATCTGACCGGATAAACAGTCTGGCTGATTTTAGTGGGAGATAAACTAAAGTCAGCTAAGGTTTCAAACTAAATCTATGGAAGTAAATCTGTGCCGCTGGGATTTGAATTAAAAATGGCACTTTAAATGTTGTATGTTTGTACTTACTGTTTTAGTGTTAAAATATATTCAGAACACATTTTAGACCTAAAAAAAAACTGTATTGTCATTATTTCTACACAGTTGAAACTTCATGTTATTTTCTCTTCAAGCTAAACATTCACATTACTATTTCAAAGTGATTACATTTTCAATACTTATTTTTCAGTTTAATTTTTCAGTGTTAAAAAAATCTGCATATAAAACAAATTCAACCTTTCAAAATTCAAACTCAATATTTTCAGTCTCCTGAGATTCAACTGGCTCTATTTCACCGTCTTAAATTCGGCGTCTAGATTCAGAGTAAAAAGGGAAGGGTTACTTCAGGTCACAGACATTAGCAATGGATTGTGGTGTCCAACACCCAGCCAATCCCGTTACATTTTCTTAGTCACGTGACGTGACGCATGTGGCGCTCATATTGAAGGAAAACCAGCATCATGGACCCGGTCATGCAAGCTAACGCTAACTCAACGGTGAGTTTATTACTTTCATTTTTCTGTAGTTGAGTTAGCGTTAGCTTGCATGACCGGCTCCATGATGCTGGTTTTCCTTCCATATGAAGGCACCACAGGTGCTCAGTGGCATTTTTAATTCAAATCCCAGCAACACAGATTTACTTCCATATAAATCACTTTCTTCCTGTTAAAAGGGAGTTTTTCCTCTCCACTGTCGCTACAAGCATGCTTAGTGTGGGGGATTGTATTTGAGTCAATGCAATCAACTGGTTTTCCTTAGATAGAAAACTTTGTATCAATTTGACTGTATGATCTGGTTGAATTGTAAAGTGCCTTGAGATGACATGTGTTGTGAATTTGGCGCTATATAAATAAACTGAATTGAATTGAATTGAATTGAACTTGCAGGACAATTAGGCTTCCCATAAAAAAACATACTTTTTAAATTAGTTGATCTCTGTTCAAATATTCTTTCATTTTCTAAAGTGTTCATATGTTTAGGTGGATTTGAAGCTGATGAAGGAGGAACAGCCTGCAAAGCCTCCAGCAGAGATCAGCCTCCTGAGCTCCGTCAGCTCGGAACACGCATCGGCTAAATGTCCACCGGTGGACCTTTATCTGACGTCCACCGGTGGACATTTAGCCGATAAAGGTCCACCGGTGGACCTCTATTTGATGTCCACCGGTGGACGTTGGCTAAATGTATGTTTGGAAGCCATCTGTCCAGATGTTGGTCTGATGAGCTCAGACTGAGCGTCATCGATGAGCTGGAATGATCGCCTGTTTCTCCAATCCTGTGAAAAGTTCAGTTCTCTGTTTTCAGTCAAACTGCACCGAAAGAAGTGAAATTTCATTTAGTGAATTTAAAATGTGATGTTTTAACTTTAAAAAAAAAATTGATGGTTTGAAACCAATAATTTCCCTTTTCCTGGGATTAAAAACCTTAATCATGGAAACAATAACTGAAACATTTAGTTTCCAGGTAAATATCTACTTCAGGTCAAAGGTAATAGAGTGACTAAAGGTTTATCGGTTCACTGCTGAATGTGACCTCATCACCTCACTGATTCAGAGTCGGCGTGAGCAGCACTGCACACCATCGGCGAGGCGCCGTTCCTGCTACTGCAGTCTGCTCTGCATTTTAGTTATTAGGTGAAATGTTATCATATAGAGATGATTTTAAAAACTCTGAAGCTTTTCAGGCTCTTCAGTTTGTTAAAAAACAATTTAAACTATTGAGCTTTTAAAAACCTCTAAGTTTTCAGGAATCCTTTGACCGTCATTAATAGTTGGTGCAAAGTATCTGTACGTATTCACTATTTGAAATAAACACAGTTTTGAATGTGGTCACTACTTTATTCCAAAGTACATTAATAATGTATGGAATGGTAAAAATGGGTATTTTCCGATTTGAAAAATAAAGTTATAACAAAGCATAAAACCTGTTTATTATCTGTTATAAATTATAAATTGACTTTTTATGAATGCAGATTCTTTCTTTGTCTGAAGCTAGAAAAACATATTTCTAATAAATCAACATTTAGACTTTAAAACCATCTGATAAATTTAATTTGAGAAAAACTAATACATTTAAGTGGAAAAAAAATTTTTTTTTTATTGATCCAAAGTTTAGTGCAGGTTTTTCTACTTTTTAACTAAATCAGTCATTTCTCAAACATTCAAAGCTTGTAATTTTCCACTGTGATAAATGAACCTGAAGCTAATCTAGATTAGGTTTAAAGCTGCGTCTGTGTAGCAGGAAGCTTCCCTGAACGTCTCTCTGCTGCCAACTCCTTCCAGACGCTCCGAGCGTTTCAGACGGCAGAGATGCTGGAGTGACTCTGGGTCAGAGAGGAGAGCTGGAGTGTGAGGCGGATGCTGTGCCGGAGGCAGACTTTGAGTGGTACCGAGACAACAGAAGGTAAATTATGCAAACTTTACATTTTGGAGAAGGAAATATGAGTCATAAAGTTATAATGATAAACTTTCTGCCAGTTTGACTTTAATAAGAGAAGAACATCTTTGTGTTGTTTAGGATCTTTAACGGCTTTGATGGCATGGAGATCATCAGCAGCGGCTCCCTGTCTAAGCTCACCTTCTATAACGTCACCGATGGGGATTATGGGAACTACACGTGCGTCGCCATCAACAAGCTGGGCAGCTCAAACACCAGCTTCCTTTTGTATGGTGAGTCTATTTCTATAAAAAAAAAGCTGAATGAACAGTCTCTTTAGTTTCCACCTTTTTTAGGCCCAGTCAGTCTCCTTCAAAAGTTTTCACACCCATTGAACTTTTTGACGTTGTACTGCATTCATATGTCAGACAGTGATGTCAGGTAAAGTTTATGCAGGTTAAAAGGTTAAGATCACATTTCAGTTCTGAGTTGGTTCTGTTGGGATTTGACTAGACCACTCCACCATAGACTGAGCTTGGACTGAAGCTGGAAGGCAAACCTCTTCAGGTCTGTTGGTTCCCAGTAAATCCAGCAAATCTGGTTTTGTTTTCACCATGAAGGCCTGAAGGTAGAGAAGCAGCCGAGCTCAGACACCTACAGTAGCAGCCATTAGAAATTACCACACTTCTCTTGGCTGTCCCTTGGCTGTCCCTTGGCTGATTCTTGGCTGGTCCTTGTCTGGTCCCTTGTTGGTCCTTGGCTAGTCCCTGGCTGGTCCTTGGCTGGTTCTTGGCTGGCCCTTGGCTGGCCCTCAGCTGGTCTTTGGCTGGTCCTTCACTGATCTTTGGCTGGCCCTTAGCTGGTCCTTGGTTGGTTCTTGGCTCGTCTCTGGCTGGTTCTTGGCTGGTCCTTTTTTGGTCCTTGGCTGGTCCCTGGCTGGTCCCTGGCTGGTCCTTGCCTGGTCTCTGTCTGGTCCTTTTTTGGTCCTTGCCTGGTCTTTGTCTGGTCCTTTTTTGGTCCTTGGTTGGTCCCTGGCTGGTTCTTGGCTATTTCTTGGCTGGTCTTGGCTGGTTCTCTACAATTCATTTTTAAACATCAATCTTTGTACTAAAATATTCTTTCTTTCATGATTTGTGGACATTAAGATCTACAGAGAAGCGTCATCTCCCGGTCAGAAGCTGTAATTCAGTGAAAGGGTGGAGTCAGAGTAAAATAATATGCAAGGGGGGGGGTCACTCCAGTGCCTGGAAGTTGGAGAGGATTTTGCTGGGAGATGCAGGGAAGTGGGCTGCCATTCGGCTGATGTTTTACTGGGAAGAGCCATAGTGAATGGCTGCTGCTGTTACTGTCGTGTAGAAATGATGCAGAGAAGTTCAGGATGTTGTTTTCTAAAGTTAACGTTGCTTTAACTCACAGCATTGGTCTGCTGTGTTCCTTCCCGTTCTTCCTGTTCACTCGTCTTCTCTAAAAATTCTCTATTTCTAGAAAAGCAGCTTTCATGATCAAATCAATAAAAGTTTGGACTTTATTAAAGGCAGTTGGTTGTTAGCTTTCACACTAAAGGTCACTCGTTTTAAATGCATGTTTTCGTTTTAATGGGTGTGAATACTTTTTCAGTGCAAAGCAGTGAGCAGTCAGCACAGAGCTGCTGGAAGGAGTTTCTTTCTCCATGTCAGACGTAGAAAATGTCGTCAGTGTTTCTAGAGATATAATTCTAGATGCAATGATCCCTGAATGAGAATTAGCATGCAGATTGTAAGTCGGCCTCCGCGCTCCACCTGCACTTTAATAAAGTTGTTGGCAGTTTTTCAGTTTGAGCCCTTGAGGATGCGTCTGTGCAGCTAGAATATAAAACCCTGCTGCTTTTCTCCAATCATGTCTTTCCGACTTGTTTCTCTCTTGCACTTGTTTCCCTGATGTAGCGGTAATTCAGCCCACTAGCTCCACACTGTTACAAGGTTAGTATTCCTCACCTGCATGTTTATCAGCCGCTGTCAGAAACCAGCTTCTGCATGCTGAAACAGAAAAAATAAACGGTCATTTTCACATTAGAAAAGAACAAATTCATAATCTTTCAATCCTTCATTTTGGCTCTAAGGGCCTCAGATGAGAATGATTGTGGGACTGAATTATAAGGAGGATAAACGTGAACGCTAACTGCCACGCACTGATAATGTGACTCTTTGTGAAAATGAAACCAGCTTTCATTAATCATGTTTCATCTCTTCCCTTCCCTCCTGCCCTCTGTGGGACTCTGCCTTCATTGTGATTGTTGCATGCTCCCATTGTAAGTATTCATCACCTTCTACCGTTTATTCTGACCTTCAGTCAGTCTGTGCATTTAGCTCTAGCTTTGAGAACCTGCTGCTTCCTGGGTTTGATCCTGCTGTAGTAGGAGGACCGGTGATGTCATGAAGGGAGACATCCTGGCCGCCATTAGCTTCTTCACAGCCTTCAGGAGCTGAAGGTCCTGATTACATCCTCTGCTCATCTAACCATGACTCAGCAAACTCACTCTAAATCCCTAAATGATCATAAATCCAAGGTGGGGAAGAAAGAAGTTTCTATTGGTCATTTCAGTCAATTTAAATACTTTTATTGAGTAAATATTAGTGAATGATCCAATCAAAAATAAATATCTATATGAAAGGAAACAAAACATACAATAAGGCAAATATTTTATCATCAAACATTGTAATTTTAATTTACTTCAATATTTACTTTGTCTTTTCAAAATGTATTTATTTTAGGATATAATCATTTATTTTAAAACATCATTGGCTGCTGCTGTTAGCCATCATTTTGTCCCTTAAATATTCTTTCTAAATATCTTTGATTCCATAATCTAATACCTGTTAAAGTAGAGTGTGCTTTGGTGATGCTGATAATTCCCCTCATGTGTTTGTTAACAGTTAGAATAAAGTAGCTGCTGTATAAAAGTGGGGGCTTCAAACCTTCATGTTTAGGTGTTTAATAAACTGATTTCCAGGCTTTCCTCTGCAGCCTTCGGTTGCTTCTGGGGAGGAAATGAAATAATCTGCTGCAGCAGAAACACGTCTGGAAAAGAAAAACAGTTCAGTGTTTGAAAATATTTACCTCATAAATAAATACCATAATTATTGCACTAAATATTTAAACCCACATTTTAAACATTTACAGTTATAGCTAATTTGACTGATTTTAAATAGCAAAACATGTAGTTTATAAACTGTTATTTTTATAGAATAGAATAAAATAGAACAAAAAATCCCTTATTGTCCCTCAATGGGGAAATTCTGGTGAGAGTATAGAAAAATGGTCACACAAATGTGGACCTTGGAAAAATGTATAAGAATAATATAATAGTAAAGAGTTAAAATGATAAACACATAAAATACTGTAAAGTTTTTAACAATTTAGAACTGTTCATCTGGAGAATTAATAACCAATATGCAGCTATGGACATTTTTACAGTAATGGAGATTTTAAAATAGCAGCAACATCAGAGATGTGCAGAATGACAGCAGCAGGTTATTTAACTGACTAAAGGCGGCCGTACACTGTGCCATTTTTTCAGTCGTTGCACGCAGCTTCTGCTCACACTGTACTTCAACTAACCGCAGGGTTTAGTCGTACAGTGTGAGCTTACAGCTCACCATTTATGTTCGGCCCGACGCTCTGATGCGATCTACCTGCTCACACTGTGCAACTAAAAACCAGGTGGGACTCAGCTCCGCAGTGAGATGGAGCTGCTCTGACTCGTCTATCTGGAAGCCAAACCAGTAGAAGATGAACATGTAGCTCACTATAGTTAACAAGCTGCCTTGGCTATTTGTGCATTTTTGTGCTGAAAGCCCTAAAAAAAAAAATGGCTGAGCAAACGTTTTTACTACAGCCTGTCAGTTTTACAGGAAGAACTCAATTTCACTCCGCTGCTGTGTTTTCATGTGAGAGGAATCCTTCTGTGTGCATGCGCCCTGAGCTATTTGCCCACTTAATCAAACATGTTTGATTTTCTTCCAACCTCACGGTTCCTGGTTGGGGGTGGCGTGAGAGGCTGATCGCCACTCGTAACCCCCTGTACATTACACCACGCACCATCAGGCTGAAAGTCTAGAGACTAGACTAGATTCTAGAGTACTCTAGGCTAGAGATCGAAAGATTCTCTCACACCTGGAAAATCGCCCCAAAAATCGCACAGTGTGAGCCGGGCTCAAGGTAGAAACTGCGAAATCAGCATGAATGGAAGAACTGATTGAGGTTGTTGGGAACAGTGGTGGTTCTAGAGTCTTCCAGCTGCTGGGAGGAAGGATCTGTGATAACGCTCCCTGGTGCATTTAAGGTGCAGCAGTCTGTCACTGAAGGAGCTGTCCAGTTCAGCACCAGCTTCATGCATGGGGGGGGAGACATTATCCAACAGAGATGTTCATTTAGTTAGAATCAGTCTGTTTCCCGCCTCATGCACTGAGTCCAGAGGGCATCCAATCACAGCTGGCCTTCCTGATCAGCTGATCCAGACGCTTCCTCTCAGCTTCAGATCAGCCACTGCTCCAACAGACAGCTCCATACAAGATGGCTGATGCCACAGCTGAGACAGAGAAGGTCTGTAGGAGCGCCCCCTGCTGTCGCCTCAGCAGGAAGACTCTGCTCTGACCTTTCTGATCCAGAGCCTCAGTGCTGGGAGTCCAGTCCAGTTTGTTCTTCACATGAACACCTCGCTACTCAGAAAGCATCTTCTATGTTTTTGTAAAGTTAACAAAAGATATTTTTTTACATTTACTTTGTTTGATCAAGATAATCGACTTTAAATGATTCATTTGTCAGGAAATCTTCCTTAAACAGATCCTTTCTGTTTGGTTAAAAAGCTTAAATAATCCCAGCATCTGAAACTGAACTCTAGCAGCACCTGTGCTCTTCCTCCTCCATCCTCATCATCAGTTCTGCATCTTCTATGTTGTAGTTTAAACCTGCAGAGATTAATCAGGTTGTTTTCCCACAATCATCAGGTCACATTTTGGCTCCTTATGGAGCTAAAAAAGCTCGTCCTAAACATCTATATTGATCTGTTGGTGACATGATGCTCCCGCGTTACTGAAGCGTTATGTCCTCACCAGGCGGAAGAAAAGTAGTTCCCATCAAATGTCTGCATTTCAGCCATTTTCTTTTTAACAAACATTACTTAAAATAACTAGTATGAAAAGTATAGAATTTTGAGTTTAAAAGTTGATAGTAGAGGTTAAAGTTCTGGTTTGTAAGGATCTATATTTTAGGGTCAGTCTACAGATCCCAGTATGTGGATGCACTCGTTTAGGAGAGAGAAATTCAATGGTGCACGTGATGCATGTGTCACTCTGTCAGTGTGAGAGCTGAGCTCCCTGATGGTGAGCAAAGCAGAAACCCAGTGAACCTTCCATGGCTTCGCTTCATCCTTTCATCTCTTCAGGAAGAAAACTCAGCTGTTTACCAGCGATGGACGAAGTATTCAGCAGCAGTACTTCAGTAAAAGTATCGATACTAAAATCTTACTCAACTAACAGGAAAAGTTACTCGGTCAAACATTTATTCAAGTTGAAGTGCTAGTACAAGAGGCTAAAGGTTGAATATGTTAGAAATTATAACTGATCTGAGACTCATTCTACTGATCAACTTGGCCTCATGGCAACAACCAACGCCTTAATGATAAACTTCAAATAAAGTTTCTCTCATCGGTGGAACATAATTAAATCTGTAAATCAGTGGCGTCCAGATTCAGTCCTAAAGGCTGCTATCCGCCATGATGGATGAAAAACAGAAACAGAGGATTAGCAGAAAATCACTGAAGTAAAGATACTCAAAAAAGTACTTAAGTACAGTAATCAAGTAAATGTTCTTTGTTACTGGATGATGTTTTTGCCTTAATTGCATGTTTAAAAAAGCTTTGATCCAACAGCAGCAGAGAGAAATATCAATGATTAAAAACACTTTAAATACATTTATAACTAAAGATAAAAGCTATGAGATCATTTTAAATTCATTCATTTCTCACCTGAACCCAAACTACATAAATCAATCTCATTATGTGATCGGATTTATTTTACAGTAAAGACATTAAGCAGATATCAGGACCAGGATTAGAATAGGGAACTGGATCAGGATCAGGATTAGATTCAGGAACTGGATCAGGATCAGGATTAGATTCAGGAACTGGATCAGGATCAGGATTAGATTCAGGAACTGGATCAGGATCAGATTCTAGCTCAGGATCAGGATAAGATTCAGGTACCGGATCAGGATTAGATTCAGGAACCGGATCAGGATTAGATTCAGGAACCGGATCATGATCAGGATTAGAATCAGGAACCGGATCATGATCAGGATTAGACTCAGGAACCGGATCAGAATTAGATTCAGGAACCAGATCAGGAACAAGATCAGGATCAGGAACCGGATCAGGATCAGGATTATATTCAGGATCAGGATTAGATTCAGGAACCGGATCAGGTGGTCACCTAGCAGAATCAGTGACTGCCTGTTTTCTTCTCCTCCCATCAGGACCGAGGGCAGTCCAGGACGGCAGCGGAGGCGCCAAGGTCGTCCATTTTCACACCTGTCTCCTCCTCATGGCATTTCTGCCCTTCCTGCTGCGTTTTTAAAGAGGACTGGATTTGAAAACTAATGTTTGGTTTGGAGGTGTGTGTGTTTGAGTGTGTGCGCACCTTTTTTTCTTTCCTACCAGAAACTTTAACTGATGCACAACAGATGATCCTGCTAAGCACTGATTTTACCCACTTAGTTCTGGTTGTTTCTCTCTTTTATTTTAACTGAACTTTTTCAATATTTTTGTCTAAATTATATAAGTTTGTGTTTTTAACTGTTATTGAAATGTCTCTATTTTATTGCAGTGGTTCTTTTATCTTTAACCCCATTGAATATTATTCTCAGCTGCATTAAAATGCAAATGTCCAGCCGGTGTGAGAGGTGAACGATAAATACCTCAAAATGACAGAGTAGAGCTGAGAACCAGACTTTATCTTATTATAACGTATAAATATCATCATTCAATCTGTTTGTTGCAACCAGAACTGTTTTTGACTTTAAAGTATTTTTCTTCTCAGCGTCGATATATTATTATAATAAAATGGGAGTTGTGTATTGCTAATCTTTATTTTTTTCGTTTTCTGAGAATATTTAGTCTTGAATATGTTGAACATGAGAAAACATGCAGTTGTAATTATTTCCATCATGGATTCTTTGTTGTCTTTTCTTCTCCTCCAGTATAACCTGTACACACAAGTGTTAAGTATGTTCATAATAGTATGAAGTATTTAGAAATGGTGACAGAGTTTATTTCATTTTTTTGCAATGAACATTTCTGGATGCTTAATGTTTTACCTCATGTCATTTTTACATAATGAAAAAATAAAGTGAACTTGTTCATGTTAAAAAAGAAGCTCCTGAAGATTTACTGAATTATTTATAACCTGTGAACAGAAATAAAAACATGAATTATCCAATTTATTCAAGGTTTCATGCAAAATCTTAGCAGCAGCTCCAACATGGCAGCGCCATCAACCATTTATTGAAGGAAAGAAAAAAAACACTCATTATGGGATGCAAAGCGTCTTTGATGAGGCTGGAAGTGTTGCTAAGGAAGCTAGCTGCAGGATCAGCCGTCTAGAAGACACCAGGCAGTGAAATGAGCGACGCCTGCAGAACCGCTAAGATTTCTAACAACTGCAGGATTTACCAGCTGCTGAAGGGACAGAAGCCATGAAGCTGCTTCTCAGTGCTGCCTTGCCTTTTCCCCTCAGAGTCAAACCTGTGTCTCTGACCCACCGCAGGTAAAGGGGCCCTGGGCCCCCAGACTGGTGATGTTCTGCAGATTCTAAACTGAACTGTTATCTAGAGATTTAAGTGAGGCTGCATGCAGTGAGGAAACAGCTGGACCTCCAGGATCAAAGATGTTTATAACCCTGTTTAAAGCACCGTGTTTATGGAATAAAAGCTTTTATTGTGTAAAATCAGCCAAACATCTTGAGCCAAGAATCTGGAGTCACCTCAAAGCTCAACAGCAATAGGCTGGGATCACTCCGTCATCATCCCTGAAAACCAGGACCAGAAGACTGACTGAGCTCAGATCCATCACCCTCAGCTGTCCTCACATCCCAGAGGTGGAGCTATTAGGTGTGATGATGACCTACAGGTGGTAGATTGATCATCTGGTGACCTGCAGCTACAGCGGTCTGAAGCTCAGCGCTCTGAAACGATGGATATGGTGCTGAAGTTCCCCACCCGCCCCCCTCCTGCCCGCCTGTCCTGGACTGCTTCCTCCTCCTGGGCATCATCATCATCAGGACCTCCAGTGGGAGCTGAACACCTCCTCCCCCACCAAGAAGGCCCAGCAGCAGAAGAGGCTGCAATGGTGACCTTCTGCTCATCACCTAATCCACCCTCTCTTCATAAAAAGAACATGGCTGCCACCATGAGCAGTAAGCATGCATCCAAGAATGCATTCCAGCATTCATCCCAGCATGCAGCCAGCAATCATCACAGCATTCATCCCACCATGCAGCCCAGCATTCATCCCAGCATGCAGCCCAGCATTCATCCCAGCATGCAGCCTAGCAATCATCACAGCATTCATCCCAGCATTCATCACAGCATTCATCCCACCATGCAGCCTAGCAATCATCACAGCATTCATCCCAGCATTCATCACAGCATTCATCCCACCATGCAGCCTAGCAATCATCACA